TCCTTGTAAATGTTAAATTGTTAATAAACAAGCATAGAAAGAATAGAAATCAAGTGCATAAATTGAATTCTATGCATATTAATAATGATCTGAATGTCGAGGAAACGAGTTCGCGCAATATTTAGGTAGAGCTGTTTCGATGCGACGGCAGTACGGCATGGAAAGTGGCGTGTATGTTAAAATTATTAAGGGTTTAACTATGTATGTTTAAGTATTACAATCACTTTTTCATTATAAAATAATGAGATAATAAAAAACGCTTAACCAAAAGTCTATCGTGGAAGCTAAAATACAGTGTTTCTTGGAAAATGTTCTGTAGTAGGTATAAAAGAATTAAAGATGATTTTTATTTACTGAAACATATTATAATATATCATAAAAGATGAATACTACAGGTCGTTATGAATTGTATTGCGAATAATATTGCATTTCCACTATGATTAATGTGTATGACCGTTAACGTTTCCCCTCGTGATATGAAAAGGTCAAGCAAAACCTTCAACGCGGCTCTACGTACCCCAAGAATGTTGAAACGTATGACAAATAATGTTTCCAGATAAGCTTAGCCACGTTCTATACCTAGTTCCTTTAAAATCTTTACTTTTTGTAACTGCAGCCATCACGCGAAGTTCATCTTTAACATTTTGTAAAGCTCTAAGTTTGCTTTGTTTTTATGTCTATCAACTGGCAAACATGAACATGAATCATCGGTATGAGGCTTGTTTTTAACCTGTTTACAGTACAACGTCCAGTAGTTTCGTTCTAATAACGATTCAAAGTGCCCTCATCATTTTGGCAAATTGACGAGGAGTTACCAAACATAGGCGCCTGACGCAAGGAGGCTTTCACCGCGCACAATGGACGCGTTTCAGTAATATCTGTGGGCTCCGCCGAATTCCGCACAATGGCTAGATCTAGATTACCAATGTTGCCGATAACCTGATTTAATAGAAAAACAGACATTACATGAAAGGTATGACTTAATTGTTATGTAGCGTAATCTTACTGATCCTACACTTAAAATACTGAGAAATAAAAAATATGTGTTTAGATTTCGACTTCTAAAATATCACAGGATGCTATAAGAATTTTACGTTCTGTAAAATTTTTAATGTGTAAATAATAACGAAGTAATATAGAGGTGGTAGTTAAGACAAATTTGTTTCCACTGTTACACAGATTTAGTATTAGTGTGTGAAAATATTACGATAGCATAATTGTATTTAATTGTATTATTAGATAACGGCAAACCGCGCCTCCTTCCTATTCGGCGGAAGACTCGTCTTGCGTTATAATGCTCAGTCATAACATTACGGCGCCGCACACGGAGAACTGCCCACACTCCGCCGCTTATCGCTCCTGTTACCGCGGACATCAGCAACCGTGACACCGCCCTCGATCGTACAAAATTATCTAACTGATTCAAATTAGCGGCCACTACCTGCATCTATTTATAGTGGACGTGTCGCTCGGACGTGAGGAGTGGTGCGGAGTGGCGGCTGGTCGTCGAGGGGTTCAAGAGTGCATTGTTGCTACGCGGCCTCCGCCTAATTGCCATTCCGGGCTGCGACGCCGCGCGCCTTGCGACACGACGCCGACGACTGCTAACGTGCACTCGCGATGCACGAGACGAGCCGACAATTACCTACATTACGAAACGCACTCCGTATTCAGCCCGCGTCATTTCCAAGCCAATTTTACTATTTTAATTGCATAAGCCGCGGTTTTGTTGCGTGCGCGAATATTGTTAATCGTCGATTCGCTCGGACCAGTTACAATTATTGATATTTGCGTTAAAGCTCATCTGCATACAATGATCGCGATCACTCTTTGTTCGAAATGAGGCAATGCGAAGTCACAATAACTTTGACTGCAATAACGAGAACCCAGTGCTTGATCGGTACTCAAAGGCTCCTGAAGGCTACTGTGGAGTCCCAATTTGTAAATCGACCGACTTTTAACATGTACAGAATTGTACCTGCGTAAAAAATGAAGTAGAATGGTATGCAGTTCTATCGCTTAAGATTTATGATTTTATCCCATTGCTTATAATAAGTTTCAATTTCACACGCTCCATGCACTTTTTAGCGTTGAGTCCCAAGGAAAACCGGCCTGAGTCACCGCGGCATATTCTGACACTTTTTTTGCGACGATGATACAACTGGTTATCGCATTGTTTTTCGTGCGGCGAAAAAACGAAACTGAGGTCATTGCGTCAGTAATTAAAATTCTTCATGCAGAATGGAGGAACCTTCGGCGCTGGCCGCGTCCGCCGCGGGCGCGGGTCCCGCCTAGTGTCCCTCGCGGCATCTCCGGTGGCCGATCGAGTTCAGGCATTCCTCGCTGCCGTGTTTGTTATTAAACTAAGCATTAGAGCCGTAATGACACAACGGTATCCAATACTGTTTTTGTTAAAGCTAATGCCACTATGCTGAATTAACGCGGAGTCCGAATTACAAGAACTCAGTGCGAATTCATTATGGCCTCGCAATATCGTACCTATTCGCAGTGGTGATTAACGGGATAATGCCTGTGCCTTAGCTTTATCTAGGTTTTTCGACAATTTCACAATGCAAATAGTGTTGGAAGCGGTCGTAAGAAACGCGTTCCGACTGACTGTAACGGGACCCTTTGATTTCGAACGCATTTCGATCGTGCTGCAACACAGGATTACTTAGAATTTTCCGGAGGGAAAACACCGGTTCGGGAAAACGCAGATTGATCATATCCATAACACGGTTAGTTATTGATAACAAAAGGTACTCACCGTTTCATTGGTGCGTTATCGAGGTGTGTGTGCACAGTGGTGTTTGGTGTAAATATTCACAGCACAGTATGATCACGTATCAGTGTGGCCGGTCAGCGCGCGGTCGCCATGCCGGGCGTGCAGTCGCGACGAGGGAGACGGCGCGAGTGCGCGGCGAGGCCGCCGCCCGGCCGCCGCCGCCGCCGCCGCCCCGCCGGCTCGCCCGCCGGTGCTACCCCGCCGGGTGCTCCGCCGCCGGTGTTGCGATCCCGCCCGGAGATGCTTATCTCGAGCATCCCTTGGCTTCCAAATCTGGAGCGTTTGATGCTTTGTGATTCAGTGACACCATTTCTTGTGTTTTGTTTGTTTTCATAATGGGATGGAAGATTTATGACGGTGCAGATTCAATTTCAAGATTTACTTTCTTCTTTTCATGACAACAAAGGAGTTGCCACTTTAAAGCTCTAACATTTGCGCTTAGGACTCCTAATAATAGAACTAAAACTCTGTAAGCTCAATAAGTAAATAGGACTCTCGGAAAATCTCGAATAACGGAACATTATGTATCTCTAAAACCCTCAAACGTAAAATAGATCTTTATCTGTAGGTGGCATGACCTGTTTCTACCAGCTGCGATCGGCTACTTCATCAATTCATCAATGAATTGTTTAACTTTAGTGGCAGTACGACTATTTTTACGACTTCTGTTGAAATAGGTTAATCGTGGGGAAAACCTCTCTGCTGAAGCTGACATCGATGACACACCACAAGACGATTCGACGTAATGGTGTGGAGATTAAATATCCGATAACTCAAAATGCTGGCGACATTTTTGCGCGCAGAATATTTTATTAATAGGTATGGCATGGCAGAGTTTTTCGTCGTCGTCAGAAAAACCCCCAGATTAGGAATTTATACGAACGTGAATAAAAGTGATTAGAAAAATGGAGTCCTTCGAAGATTTTTTTGCGATTTAATACTTTGCCATAAACTGTGTCGGAACACCGTTTCTATGTATCTATGTAGAGTCAGTGATGTGGAATTAGTTTCAAACATTTAAATTTTAGGTCTTAAAAAAATATCTGAAGTAGCTAAATTCGTAATTCAATTAATTGATATACTCGTTAGTTCCTAAAATGCATTATACTTATTGCGTAGTACAATTAAAATTGAAAATCTTTCATGTATGCGACCATTCAATAAGTTATTGGTTTTATTTGCGGATATCATCATGTTATGATGAAATCTATACCTTTAGTTGGTACTTTTAATATTATAACGATAAATTCGAGACGGAGTAAATATTTAGCAATTGCTCGCTGCTCAATTGCATCAGCTCTTGTAGAAACAGCTGATGCTCTTGAATTAGGGTGTAGAGTTTCAAGGTTCCATGGCTACCAAGCTTAATACAAATATTTTTTTAAAACTAGCATGCACACGACTTTATTCGCTTGAAATACAAAAATTCATAATGAGATATTACATTTTATACATAACTCAATCACTTAAGGCCGGGTAGNAGGAATTAAATTTGAAAAATTATAAATTTAACTCTGAATGTTTTTTTATGAATGAATATTCCATATTTTATGCAAATACTTTAATAACTTACGCAAGTCGCAAAGAGTAGGTATTGTCTCTAAGTTCATACAAGCGGCCGTACATATTACTAGCGTTCCGTATATCAAACACCATTTTCCAGCGTTTCCGTAAGACCAATATATTTTTTGGTATTTTTCCTGTTGCCTTGATGCATTAAATGCCGATATATGCAAAATCACAGGAATCGTAAGAAAAAAGGGATATCCGTAACAACTGGGTTAAGGGCTAGGCTACTTTTCGTCCTCTAGGATATCCACTGTATTAAATAAATAAATAAATATCTTTGGACAATTCACACAGCGCCACCTAGCCCCAAAGTAAGCAATTATATGCTGTGTTATGGGTGCTAGCTTACCGGTTATACTACTTGTATACTTTTTTTTTTTCAATACATACATACATATTTACACAAAGTAACACCCAGACCCGTCACAGAAATTAAAATTCATCATTTCAATTTCTGCCAGGCCGGGAATCGAACCCGGGACCTTTCGGCATAGTAGTCCGTTCTGAACCACTACACCAAACGACTGACTAACGGCATTACGTAAGTCTATTAAAAAAAAAAACTAACTTTACACCTTGATACTATTACTTCTCGCTCGAACATCTCCACCGCCCATCAAATCTAACCCGCATCGTGTCGTCCAAATCATGTGTGTCTCTTATCTTTTATGTTCTCTCCTAACTTTCTTTCACTCGCTAAACGCATGCGCTGTTCACAGAAGTCAAGCAAAGGGAAATTGCGTTTCACCGACGACAGTAAAGTCGATGTATCCCACAAGAATATCGTCCTAAAGAATCTGGCTAACAAAATCGCCAGTACAGAGTCTTTAGACAACGAAGACTACGATTCCGATGCAAGCAACGAAAGCACGCTTTCAGAGGGCGCTTTAAGTGTATCAAGGAAACACAGCCCGAAGTTTGTTTCCGAACCGAATTTGAGCGTTTTGGACTCCGAGGAAACTCCGAAAAACACGAAGAAACGCGGAACGAGGTTGTTCCGTTCGAAAATCTTATCCGCATCGCAGAATCTGAACAAAAAGTACCAGAAACGTAGCGCGGTTATCAAAGGAACGCCGACTTCATGCGTCGCTTGTTTCGATGACGACAATTCGGACGCGTCGTTTCCCGACTCGAGCGATCGGAGTCCGATAGTGGATACGCCTAAGAAAACTCGCTTAGAAACGGAAGATTCGAACGCACAGAAGGAAATGAAGCTGCATTATTTAACCAGTACGCCGGGTTTATCTGAAGCCGTGGTGTTTGACGAAGAGTGCGTCACACCGTTCGCGGTGAATTTTAGAAGAGCCTCAATGTCACCGATTACGAAGTCTACGCAGAAACTGTCCAAAGCTATGCAGGTTTGTCGCATCGTGCTTTTTGTCATGCTTTCTGTGTTTGTTTACGTGAAAATAAGCATTAAGTTCTTTCAAATTGCATTTGACTACTACAGCTATTCTATTTACTGTAACTTTTTAATTATCATGATTTTTCTAATATTTCACTAACACAAACTTCATCAACTGAAAAAATATTAAAAACTTGAGACTTATTCAGATTTACATTGTGCCTTGTCTCACTAACCGTGCGATATTTAGAGACGCGTGTGTAGGTAGATATTATGTTTGAAAGAAAGAAAGATACATTTATTACAATGGACATGTTTCGTCTAGTTCTTTAATTAATTTGTTCTCTTGTGAATGATGAACAAGGCAAAGTTATTTTAGCGTTGAATTTTAATTTTATTTCACTTGTAAATATTTTTGAGTAGATTTTACAAGATAACCAAATTCCGAATCTAATCCCTTCACCATTCCAGGAGTCAATAATGACGCCACGCTCGCGGAAGCCTCTCATAATAACGTCGGAACAGCGCGACAGCCTGCCAGAGACAAGCGATAAGAAGCCGGAACCAGAGCCAACGCGTGACGTCATGTATCACTCCATGTCACCAAAAAATGACAGCGACTTCGTCTCGTCCGAAGATGAGGATCTTATGTCGCGGTCATCGTTTTCTTGTGAACGGTAAGTTTTGTTGAACAACAATTTGCGAGAAGCGTGTGAGAAAACTTACGTTTACGAAGAGAGCTTTGTCATCTAAAGCCTGGTCCGTGAGCACGTAGAATTTTGTCCAATGACCCCAAGCTACCCATCCTTATCGCTCACGCGTAATTATGTTGCTTTCGCGCTCGCACACTGACTGCGGGTGCCCGTCGCACAGTCGCGACAGCAATATAATTACTTGCGAGCGATAAGGATGGGTAGCTTGGGGTCATTGGACAAAATTCTACGTGCTCACGGTAGGCTTTAGTAGCTCAAATTGGAGATTTCTCAAATGCTGCTCTTATGTGCTAATCTTCTTTTGAATAAAATAGCGTTTGAATATGATCCGCGTCACTCAATGAGTTATTACTACCTACTTATGTTAGAAATTTTAAACATTGTGAAGAGCAGCCTTATCCTAGGACAAGTTTTTTAAAAACTTAAATGTATAAGGCTAATTTGTAATGACAATGTAACATGTGTTTCATAATAAAATATTTGTATTTGTATAAGGCCATTCCGGGGACGATAATGGAAATATTTTCGCAACAATATTGTGTTTCTAAATTTGACAGTAGACATTTATTACCTTGCCTAACGACAACTATTACTCAGTTATCTGTATTTTCAGATCGCACCACTCAAATGCGTCGCTGCCACCAAAACCATACGACGCGCGATCACTCTCAGTCGGCGACGTAAGTCCTTTGCGCTCCGAAAACACACGATTCATCATCAGCCACGAACGACCAAATTTAATCGAACAAGAACTAAACACCACCTTGTGTGGAGACACCCTAATACCAACGTTCAAAGTCTCCCACGAAATGACCAACTTTGTCGACCAAAAAACACGTTCCTTAACCGAACCCTTCAGAGAGTACCTACTCAGTCGTTCAGTACTAACAGCCACACCGGTCGATCTATCGATTTTAAATAAATCGAGCGACACCGAAGACAAAATCACCGATTCTTTGCTATACTGCCTCGACGGTAACGTTCCGTCTGAGTTAACTTTATCGATTAGTAACTTGGCGGTCGATAAAGATTCGAGTTTGAGATCGCCGCTGAAGGATATCCATAATTTTGTGGAAATGAGTCCAAGTAGGAAACGATGTGCTAGCTCGAAAGAAGTGGCCGAGTCTGAAAGCAAAAAGGTGATAGTTGAAAAGGAGAGTGCCGAAATCGCTAGCGTTTTTGAGATACGCGAGACTGAGCTGTGAAGTTATAAAATCTACGTGTTTTAAAATCGTAAGGCAAAGTGTACTAATTCTTGTAGATGAAATGTCTTTGCACTTTTAGGTCATACCCTTTTATCAAAATTATCAAACTATGTACACACGTCTAGTAACTTCAAAGTGTATGAAAAAACTGACGTCATAAGGTGATTAGGAGTCAATAGAATAACAAAGTTAAGGGACCTACCTTAGGATACCAAATAATCCTGCTTATACTGGATCTACCCAAAGTCGAAAAACGTAGCAAGTTTTCCATGAAACCATAAACTGTGGACTTCTTTTTCAAACGTTATTGTATGCGTTGTCAGTGTTTCTATTACTTGGTCTATACGCATAATATTTATGTGTAGTGCAGTGGTCGCGATTTATGCCAAAAATATAACAATAAGGACTTGCTGATTGTGATTGTGATTATGTAAGTACATAATAATAAACTTTTTGACATCCTTTAATATTGTGATTATGAACAACAATTTGTTGTAATTATTTGATTTCAGATGTAAAAAGTTTTATAAGTCAATGTAAATAAACATTTAGATACTAATTTTATAATTGAACTAGACTTCCAAAATAATTGTATGACGTATCATGTTAGTCTGCCGTACGGCGTGAGGTAACCAGTAGTCATACCTTTGTCCCTTTGTCAGTCAGCGATAGAGGTGCGTATGCAAATTGTTAACCACAAGCAGAGTAAATACAAATGAGTAGGTCATCTTCATAGAAACGCACCGAGCGCGGTTTGTATGTGAGCGCGCCAATACGTATGCGGCGCGCACGCACACACTGACAAAATTCGGCGCAACACCAACACCCCGCTAATCCTCGCTAAATTTTGTTAGTGTATGCGTGCGCGCCGCATACGTATTGGCGCGCTCACATACAATCCGCGCTCGGTGCGTTTCTATGAAGATGACCTACTCATTTGTATTTACTCTGCCACAAGACTTTAACTCGGCTACCGAGTACAACTATTGTACTCTCCGTCAAGTACTCGGAAAAGGGCGGGGCTTTTTTATACGAATAATGGCGACTGCGAAAAATGTATGTAAACTAGCGCCACCTATAATTAAACGCGGCGCTCTCATTGGTTGGCGTAATAATCGCGTTACTATTGCAATTACAATGAGGGTTTTCGTGAATGAAATATCCGCTAGATGGCGGGACGTGGATGTGGGGTCTGACTGCTGCGTGATTGGTGGATTTTGACATATCTGTCAATGTCATGTCAAAAATAACCAATCAGCATCAATCAAACCTCGCGTCTACGTATTACCCTCATTGGTCTAAGATCATGCCGTGATCATGATAATATTATGCATGCCGCTCCCATCGTTTTGGTTCATAATGATAAAACTGGTACATTAAATTTCCGCCGCTGAGCGGTGCTGTCAATGACTGACAACGGTTTGCTTGTTGATCGGACTCGTACCCATTTCTCGTTACAAAAACCTGATAGTGTTATAACTTTAAGTCACATTGGTAATTCCAATTACATATTTGGCATGAGATCCATACTATGCTTTGGTACAGGTGATACTGTGGAAATTAACGTTGACTATAATTTGTAAAATATCGATTCATTCCTATGACGATGTCACAACTTTGTAGTCTTATAACACCGCCGTAAATCTTCGTCTTGCGGTCATAGAAATTAAACCTTATTTTACGGAATTAGAGCATCTATTTCTATTTGACGAGAATAGATGTCATGATCTTTCACAACTGTCGACTATTGTGTTTCTTATTCTTGATAGCTTTATGTTCTTCCATACGGCATACCACCGTAGCGTCGTTGTATAGGTCAAGCAAGTAGAGTTGAGGCCATAAACTAGCAAATATTTGTATCTGTATACGCTTGTCACGCTGAAGTCTTATCTTACGTATTCTGACTGTTGTGTTATGTATTCAAATATTACATCAGTGTGAGTATGTGTTCGCCTCAACTCAATATTCTTTGCGCGACCTATAACGCTGTGCTGTGTATGGTTCTTGTTCTTATGTCAAATTATTGACTGGAATTACAATCCTCAGTTACTCATATAAAAAATTGTTGCCCTAATAAATTAGACGCCGACTTTCTACTGTTCGTATCAGTATTAGCTGTTCTGTTCTCAATTTTATTGGCAGTTTTTATATTCCATCATAAGTATTTCTGACAAAAGTGAAACGTACCTTTTAAATAAAAACAAATATATTTATGGATGGATGATGAACAAAATAGAATTTCCTGGCGACTACTATTCTGTTGTTTTTCTGGTGGTAACATTATTTTTATTATAAAGTAAAAGTGTACAGGTTGTAAATAACAGTTATCAAAAACCTACTTTCCTTAAATACAGGTTTTCTTAACTTGTCTTTAAACCCTGTAGCTGCATTGGAAAAGCAAATACTTATGAATGTATTTTTTATAAAATACAAGTTTTTATTATCTTTTTACTGTTATAAAAGATCGAGACTGTTAACCATGTTGATCTTATTAAGTGCCTCGAAAATATTACATAGAGTCCATATTGCTTAATATTGATTTTTCTTTGGTTAGATCGCATCTTTCTTACCATCTTTATTTATGAAAACTTAACTTATTTAATGGCATTTTTCTCAACTTCAACTGTTTGAATGTCTTGTAATTTATTTGTTAACTACCAAAGAGTTCAATGTTAGCGATGTGGACTCGTGTTACTAGTTTATGAATACATATACAATAATATGTAATGCATATTTATACGGTTATAGTGATTAAAGATTATTTTAATATTATAAATTCTTTTCCTTGATTCTTTATGACTCAAATCTTGTATTTTAGGGCTCTTTTACATTGCGTGCGACTTTTTGTAGGATGCAAACGCGATTCAGTTCCGATGCAGCATCGATACACACGCGTTACTAAAAGCAGCGATACAAACTCGACGACGTCGCGATTCGTGGCTGGGAGCGTAGCAGCTGCATTACAGTCGCGATTCAAATACGATACAGCATCGATCATCGATGTACACGCGAAACAGGATTGATACTAACGCACCGACACAAACTTCTTTTCTCCTCTACCCCTGCGCCTGAATTCAAATTTCTTTCGCCCGTATTCACAAATGATGCTTGCTTAATTGAAGCAGCATATCGAACGCACAGCGTTAAATCGAGCTTTGTGATTGGTTCGTGTGTCACCCTGTGCGTCCACACACACTGTGAGTGCTGTGAGACCTCATAGTAATGTTTTTGAATACGGGCGTGTATTTGCATAATAGATACAAACGAGTGCAATTTGTGTATTGCTACTCACGTGCGAGGGTTTCGATCAATTTCACAAAATAAAAATAATAGTTGAAAGGAATATAATATCATTTATTTGTAAAACAGAACTCGCACAGACGGAACTACACCAGTTTATATGAGGAGGATAATGGCCACTCCGATCAGCAGCAAGATGGTTAGGCAGCAGTACAATTGGCAGCAAAAACGGTAGCAGTAGTTGACGAACCGCTCGCCAATGGTCTGGCGGTAACAACTGGGGACAAGATTTCGTGTTAGGAACTAGTATTAGTATTATGGTGAGTAGTTGTCAAATTGTAATGCATGGAATGCAAGCGTAAGACGTCCACCCACAAGGTGAACCGACGACCGCATAAAGGCAGCAGAAAGGTTCTAGATGCAGGCTTCTACCAGCCGGCAGCCGGCCATTGTGGAAATCACTGGGGGAGGCCTATGTTCAGCAGTCACAGTATCCTATGGCTGAAATGATGACGATGAATGCATGTTTTGAGAAGGTCTGCTGACAGGTTTATTTGTTTTCTATGTCGGTAAATGTATTTGAATGCTTTTAATGCTAATTGTGTTGTTGTTAGCACGAAAACTTATTGTCAAACTAAAAATGGAGTCAAACCTAAAAGTTTCAACATCAAGCGCTTTAACCGCTATTATCTAAATCGCTTTAGTCTAAAAGCCTCATATCGCTAATCTAAGAACAAACACTTAACTAAAGACAAACATCGGCCATAGTGCTCCATTGGCTTGCGAATAGAGTTCTGTTTGTGTTGGCGATCGCTAATGAAACCTGTCAGCGGTTTATATCCAGGGCACACTACATACATACGAAAAATATACTTAGGAATAATATTTTTGAACCACTAAGCTACATCGTGAGCGAGGGCGGTTGAAGTTGGTTTTTATGTAGAAAAATAAAAAGGACCAAAGTACATACGTACGTATTGGATCAAGATACTTAATTTATTTTAAACAACTTAAAAATAGCTCGTATCGTAGTGGTAGAAAAGTTTTCGAGGGGCGATCACGGGCCCGAAGACGTAGTATGGACACGTGGGTTGGGCAGGCGTTCTACTTGGTGGGCCGACTATCTGGTGAAGATTAACTTGGTTCTTAAGTACCGGGCAAGCCAGGACCGGTCGCTGTGGAAATCCTTAGGGGAAGCATTTGTCCAGCAGTTGGCGTCATAAATGAAGTAGGCCAAATAGACAACAAATAAAAACCTCTGCAACAAGCAGCGACTAAAGACTACCTGTAACCTTATTTACTTTTTAGGCCATGGGTTTTACTCACGCTTTCCTCACAGACACGAATCTCGACTCGGCTTTGGGCTTTGCATACGTTGACTTGCCTTTCTTTGGCTTTTCAACAGGCGGAGGTGGGAGAGCCTTAAGTGGTACAATCTTTGGTGGTGGCGCTACTTTTATAGGTTTTTCTTTCTTCGGTGGTGGCAGCACTATCTTTGGCTCTGCTTCTTCTAGATACTTTTGCTGTCTTTGTAACTGTTCAATGAACTCTATCTCCCTTTCGCGCCTGAGTATGTCCCTTTGCCGTTGTTTCTCCCTTTCTCGCTCTCGCTTCAGCTGCCTCAAGGCCCGTTTCTTCCGAATCCATGTGCATAGTGCGGTCGGTCGGGCCGGCGTGTCGTCTCTTTTCTTCGAGCTGTAGGGCCAACGCTTCTCTGTCGATCTGTTGACAGTAACAGGGCTTCTGTGTTTATACCGACTGATCACTATGGGTATGGTTAGGCGATGTGGGTCTTCCAGATGGACTCTAGGCCTAGAATAGTTTAGATCCGAATTAAAAAAACACAAAATTCGAATACCTCTACGTTTCTTTACCATATGGGTAGATAATAAAATTCTGATCTCCCGATAAATCCTACCTGAGGCCTTTTTCTCTTAAAATAGGTGAAATTACATTAAGGTAAGTCCTGGGTCGTTCCCTTGGGTATTACATGCGTGGGTCTTTGTTTGACCCAACTGTAGTCGTATTTTCTACACTAGTCTTCAAAAACTATTACCTAGTATTGTAAATAATGTGACCAATGCTTATTATCGGGTCACTGATTCGTTTACCTTTTATACTTCGCCACAACGTAAAAATACATTGAATTCTTCAAAACTACTTGCAAAATATGAACAAGTTAATTACTTTATAACCTTCGATTTGCATGCTGAGCATTGCTTGTTTTCCGGACAAGAGCATGGCTTGCCCCTGGTCGAGTCAAGGATTCTACTAAGCATCTGGAATCACCACATCGTCATAGTTTTGACGATTTATATGAGCACATTCTCATCTTGTTTGGTTTCAATGTTGACGCTTCATTCGTGTCAATTTGGCAGGTGAATGGTGACTGTGATAGAGGATTTTATGTTAGGTTTAAAGTACTAAAAAGTACCTATTATTTGAAGCCTTTATTTTGTTATGGCTCATTTAGTTCAAAATCACTCAGTTTCGAATCATGATGACCCCTTTCCTCTTACGAGCTAATTTTGAATTAGCAATCTTCTTTCTCAAGAACTAACAAAGTTAAGAAACATGAAAATTACCTGCCTATCCTACACGTCAAGTATCTCAGTAGTCCCGGTACTAAGTTTGAAGTTACCCATTAAAAGTTTCCTCTACTTAGTGCCTTTAGAGTGGTCAGCTGTCAGTTGCATAGCATAGCATAGCATAGCATAGAGACTACGGACACTACGGTAATTTACCAGCTTCTTTAGCATTAGAGCTATTTCTGTAAATAAATAGGTATACATTGGGACGTGAAAATAAGAAGAAAAGGGCATGAAATTTCAAGTTTTGAATTTTCCGGACGTTGTTTTCCCGATGCAACTTAATTAATGCCTTGATTGTTTATTAAAAATACTTTTCTAACCAACTGTAGCGTATTAATTCATTTATTATCATCTCCATATAAAATGGACCTTCTCGTAACTTCAATTAGCAAACTGTCTCCATATAACATGACATCGCGAGACAATGCTATACCCACTCATAATATAACATGCCGTCTCCCAACCATCTGAGATCGAGTTCTAGTTTGAATTTATGAATAAATTAACAATTCCGTCTTGCCTTCGTTAGTTGGTGCTGTAATTGGAACTGAGTGCTCTATATTTCATGGTCAGCCTGTCACGATAATAGGGTGCTGGGAGCTTAAGGATATCTTCCCGATATTACTATATTACAAAGTTGCATAATTGATAGCTTTAAGTAAAGATATCGTGACTGAGGAAAGATTCCTTTGTCTTCTATCGCGCTGTGGATACCCCAGTTTCAGACTTGTAGAGCGGCCACAAGTAAGCTTTCTGGGTTGTTATTGCAGGCTCTAAAATGGAATTTTCGACGCAATGCTGCTTTGACAAATAGTTACAAAATTACTTCTGAAGATGCAGCATGTCTGAATTTAGTTATTGGAGGAGGTGAAGTTGAGTATAAGAATGCTATATTATTATCTAAATTACGGTCTTTTAGAAACTTAATTGGTAGGTTTAACCGCTTCTATGGTGTTAAGACCACCTGCTTCGAGGTCCCGGTTTCGAATTCCTAATAAGGGCAAAATTTTGCTACCACCATCTTACCTGAATCTGTCGTACCAACAATGTTGTGTTCTAGAAATAAAAGACCGTAAAGTAGCCAGTTCCTATTTGGTTGAGGATTCGGGATGAAGTTCGCTTCCACCTTCGATTTGATCACTTTTTATCTTCAATGTTCATTTCATGCAGGCCAAGAGCTTTCTCATTGTGGATAAAATTATTCTATCAACAATGTAATAATGCCTCGTTCTAGCATTAATATGTATTCTGACGGTCGAACTTTAAGCTCGTCTGCGTAATAATGTGCTGCCCGAGCCACCGTGGAGCTTACGGAATTCTTGCGAACTGCATCGTTGAACTAACACAAGCATATTTTGGTATGTTGAAATTAAATAGGTTACCTAAAGGACCTTGCCATCCCCTTGTCTTTGTCTAAGGTTATGCATTATGTTAATAAGTATATTATTATTATAATCAATCAACTTATTTACTTATTCTAAAATAACTTCAAGAATTTTATATGATTAATTTAGTACTTAATACATATAAAGGGTACTTATGTAAAAGAATTAAAGAAACAAGAACTCTCACTGGAAACTTTTTGCGTCATATGAAGTCAAGCATTCAAAAATTGGCTGAAACAATATTACTCATAAGTAAACGTATAGTACGCGGGTACACTCTCTACTTAAGTTCACAAAACGCGGAACTTTAATTTCTAAGGCTGGGTTGCACCATCTTACTTTAACTTTGACAAACGTCAAAAAGCTGTCAAAATCCATACAAAAAGCACCGGTTATCGTCAAATTTACGGTCAAAGTTGGGTAGTGCAACCCAGCCTAAATAAATTCGCGAATATGAAAGTACATACGTAGGTACTTAGGTGTGTAGTTACTAGTTATTGTGCATATTGCAACTTTTGTTAGTCTAACAAACTGTACTGTTAACCTAGTAACAGAAGCATCTAATACCGCATAATACAATCCAGGCTCCCGCTGCAGTTTGTTGTGTGCAAACTAAACGATTTAATTTGTAGGACGGTGTAAACCGCTGTACATGCCAACTGATACTGGTCGGAATTGAACGTGGATTTGATATGGAATGGACATGATAAATCACCACCTAAAGAAAAGTGTAGTCCAGCGTTGTTTGATAGGAATTATTAATAATTTGTAGGTATGTGTTTTTTAGGTATAACATGTGGCATACCTAACCGAGACTTTTCATTCATATTATGGTCGAGTGTTGTTAGCCTTAATAAGGGCTTTTAATACTAGTTGCGCTATCAGTTCGTTTACCTCACTATCTGATTCTGTCCACGTTTATAGAATACTCCTTGCAAAGTTCTCTTAGCAATGCATCCGAACCAAAATTGGTTCGGATGCATTGCTAAATTGAGAAATCTCTACGCGCATCGGTGAGCCACAAATGTGGCAGTTGATGTGCTAAACTAAATAGTTTACGTTTTTTAGATAAGTAGGTCATCTAAATTGCAAGTTTCAAGTGGTCCAAACGGTTTTCAAACGTTTTGCAGAACCCTACGAATGAACAGACGCCCTCCCACCTCATTACATAATGCTCGTCTGAGCTAAGCTGCCGCATCCGAATATGTTTTCAGCTTTGGTCTTATTACCGGACAGTGTATCTAACAAGTACAGTCGACGGCACATCACACTAAAATTTGTAGGAAAATAGCACCTATTTCAACGAAATAAAAGGCTATATACTGTTTAGCTTGCCTGTACGAACCTCGGCAGAGTGTGTTATGGTCGGTTATTGTGTTCCTTCCCGATTGTAGCTAATCCGGGACATTGTCAGGAACTGTATTTAGGATGCTGTTTGTATGTGAATTTGATCCCGGGATCCCCTTTATTATTTAGCACTGGAGCGGTTTGATCCGGGCTCCCCTATAGCATTCGTGTGCTAAAAACTTCGGGTTTAAATTTAACAAATCTGGAGATTCACATGGTAGTTAAATGGTTGAGATACAGATAATTAATTAATCATTAATTACACACACCACGTAAAACTGACAAATTAAAAGAAACACAACGTTGAAATGGCACAATGATTGAGGCGGCTTTATCGCTAGGAAACGATTTCTTCCAGACACCCTCTCTCTACATCTAACCTCTATATTATGTTAAGAGGTAAGTTTTGAATATTGTTTAGCTGACTTTTCAAGCAAGACTTAATTTTCTATTACAATGTATCATGTTTTTTTTATAAAATTAATTTCTGTAGAAGAGGTAACAGTTTCAATAATCCAATAAATATGAAAATATCTAGTTAATGGATTTCTACCTAATTCCATTAACTATACTTATTTTACTTGCTATCTATTACAAATTAATTTCGAAATCAATCGTCCGTCACCTGATAGGCCGATATCGAGTCAATTGCCCGTCTGATTGCTTCTAATGCAACTCCATCTAACTGTTTGTAGACCGAGAATACTCTATGAAGGTGATGCGTCAAAGATTAAATATAAAACAAATAGTTTTTGGCATATTATACCTACGTACGTAAGTAGGTAATGTCTTGAGTGCCTGCCGTCATGTTTCTATTTCAAAAAACAGTCTTATCCCCGAGTGATCTGGAAGAAATCGCTTCCTAAAGATAAGACCGCATTTATAACTGGTATTTCTAGTTATTTTGGGTACATACTTCTATCTAAGTAATAAAAAACGTTGAGAGCTAGGAGCCAGATGAAATAAACTGCAATATTCTCAATGTTTATTAACTTAAAACTTAATTACATTTGCCTGCTAGTAGCAAGCAAAAGTAATTACTGGTAACTCGTGCATCGTGAAGTCATTAATCTTCTACACAAAATAAATTACGTCATGTCTCTTTCAGTTAAAAATAGCAAATAAAAAAGACACATTTTCATGCTGTTACAAAAACTTGTTTGTTACATGCTGTTCAAAGAAAATAAGAAAAAAGTTTCGAAATATTCTAAAGCTTCCATTTACAGATAGATTTATGCCGAATAACCGATTAGGTATTTTTCCAAGTAAAAGTGCATTCTGCGGTTGTAATCTTTGCCCTGTTAATAAAACTGCGTTTATATGCAGTGCAAGTATGCAGTTGTGTACGTGACTAGCTAATTGACACTATTTGCGTTTGTTTCCTAGTTTTAATATTTCAGTTGTTATGTGTTGTATAATTTACCTAGTTTAAAATGTGGTTATATTAGTCACTTCTAGTTTGCTCAGTTAGGTGTTAACGTTAATTTTGCTAAACTATGAGACACAGAATAAGTACAGTACCTATGATGAGATGTAGGTAGGTATCTATACTTCGTAAATGAGCTTAAGGACGATCAATAAATTGAGTCTTATTTTTTTATAATAGAGTAGAGCATCAACCAGCAGATGTGGTTAGGTGAAGCCAAAGCCAATACTTACCTATTAATACCACCAACACTTTTACACATGCCATAAAAAGCAAATATTTACACCATAAAAGTTTTCACCGTTTCTTTCTTTTCTAGAGTATGTTCGGTGACGTCATTATCTTTGCTTCTCGAGGTGTAGGTAGGTACTTGGGTTGCAAAATTCTGTTTGCTTCTGCATACATCTTGATTGGTCTTTGATGAAACAAATCCCTGTGTAACCCTGAAAACATAGGAAATATTTGAATCTCGAATTTCAGTTCAATAATGTCCGTAAGTTCAATAGATAACGAATTCTAGCAATTTAATGAGCATGTTATGAATTAAACACAGCGATGAGTATAGGTATTATACATGTTATATTACAGTCA